TTATTTAAATTGTTTTACCTGAATAGTCTTTCTATTTTTACAAGATCATATGGATAAACATATGAACATATATAGTGACTATATTATTGTTGTTTTTATTATTGCTTGCTTCTAAAAACATGTTTCATGTATATTCAGGCTAAAGGTGGAAGTGGAGTAGCTCAATGTTCCGAAAGATTCACCGTAGAAGACATGTACAAGCAAGCTGGAAATGAGATAATGTTGATGACAACCCCCAACTGATCAATATTATAATTACTTTTGAAGTTCTTTCAGTGGAGGATGAATGGTTATTGTTGTATAAGCATTTTTTACTTTACTAGTTCATCCAGTAGAAGATGAATTGTTGTGATCGTAAAAGTTATTTTATTTACTTTTATAGTTTATTTGATAGAGGATGAACAGTTATGACCGTAAAGGCTATTTTATTTTTCTTTTACATTTTATCAGTAAACGATGAACGTTTCTCCATGTCGAAGGAATGAAAACTATGAGATTTGGTCCCATCAAGTTTATTCCAATGATATTTGAAAATAGCAAAAGTCTAGATTTGACATATGTTAATGTGTTTGTTTTATGGCATGTTTTGTATGGATGAATATTTTTTAAAAAAAATATGTATATTTCCGTTTTAAAAATATCGTCTCTGTGAAAATATATTCCTTACAATGAGAAAAATTGTTTCCATGTGGAAACATGAAAAAACAAATGGCATAAATTACATTAATGATTGTGAAGTCGTTCAATCATAAGCTGTAAAGATTAAGAGAGAGTTTGGGAAATTTTGATATTGTAAAAATGAATCAGATCCAATACAATAAGTGTGAGATACTACTTATATATGAGAAGAGGAAATAGCAACAAAATATCTAACTAACTTTTCTAATTGAACCTAACAATATTAATAACAGAAAATAAGAACTAATTACACTTAATTAGTTAACTAACTACTTCTATCACTATCGGTTATCTTCAATAGTCCCCCTCAAGCTAGATGTATTGAAAACATTTAATACACCTAGCTTGGTCAATAAGAAGTCATGTTGAGATCTTCCCAAAGCCTTTGTTAACAAATCAGCTTGCTGCTCCTTAGTAATGATATAACTTGTCTTGATCAATCCTTGTTGCAACCTTTCACGGATAAAATGACAATCAATCTCAATATGTTTTGTACGTTCATGAAAAATTGAATTTGCTGCTATTTGCATAGCAACTTTGCTGTCACAATGTATGATAGTTGGTTCATGCACATTCATCTCCAACTCTTTGAACAAGTTATTCACCCAAACGACTTCAACTGTTAATGTTGCTATGCTTCTATATTCTGCTTCTGTAGAACTTCTAGAAACTGTATTTTATTTCTTAGACTTCCATGCTATTAAAGATTTCCCATACTTCAAAAGATAACTAGTCACTGATCTTCTGGTGTTTAGACAGGCAGCCCAGTCTGCATCACAAAAACCAGTGAGCTGTGCTTGTTTATCAGAACTCATGGGTATCCCCAGACCTGGTGCTGTTTTAACATATTTAACCACCTTCAATGTTGCATTCCAATGGGAAAGTGTTGGTTTCTGCATGAATTGACTTAAACACTAAACTGAGAAAGCAATATCAGGCCTAGTGTTAGTGAGGTATAGTAGTTTCCCAATCAATCTTTGATATCTGTTTATATCAGTAAATAGTTCATCAGAGGCATCTTGCATATAATCAGTACTTGTAAGCTTCATATTTGTCTCCAAATGTGTTAAAGATGGTCTAGCTCCTGATAATCCTGTTTTTGAAATTTACTCCAATGCATATTTCCTTTGATTCATTACTATGCCTTGTTCGGATTGAAAGAATTCTATTCCCAAGAAATACCTCAATTCTCCCAAATCCTTTATTTTAAAATGAAGATGCAGAATCTGCTTTGTCTCCTGTATCAGTGCATAATTATTTCCCCTAATCAACAAATCATCCACATAGACCAACACAATTACTAGTGTTGTCTTCTTCCTCTTGGTAAACAAAGAGTAATCCAAATGACTTTGTATGTATCCATAATTCAACAATGCATTAGTGAGTTTAACATTCCACTGCCTAGATGCTTGCTTGAGACCATATAGTGACTTTTTTAGTTTAAAAACTTTATGTTCCCCTTGACTTATGAAACCCTTAAGAAGTTCCATATATACTTCTTCATCTAAATCACCTTGAAAAAAAACATTGAAAACATCCATTTGAAATATTTGCCAATTTTCAGCAGCTGCAATTGCAATAATAGTTCTAACAGTAACCATTTTCACAACTGGTGAAAATGTCTCCTGATAATCAACTCCCTTAGTTTGACTGTATCCTTTAGCTACAAGCCTGGCTTTGAACTTGTCAATCTCTCTAGTGGCTTTGCATTTTATTTTAAACACCCATTTACAGCCTATGTCATGTTTCCCTGAAGGCAAAGTCACAACCTTCCATGTGCCATTATCTTCTAATGCAACAATCTCTTGTTTCATGGCTTCTACCCATCTTTGATCTTGAATAACTTCTTCATATGTTTTGGGCTCAACTTCTGCAGACATTGTACTTAAATATGTCTGATAAGATCTAGACAAATGATTATATGACATATAGTTGGCTAAAGAATGAGGATTACCTGAATCAGTCACATGAGTAACATAGTCTTTCATCCAAACAGGTGGATGAGACATTCTTGAAGAAACTCTGGGCACAGAACCAGGTATATAAACCACATTGTCATCACCATGCTCTTCAGTAATGTCCTCAGAAACATGTTCAGTAGGAACAAGTGCTTCAACATGTTCATCTAAAGTCTCAACATCTAGTGGTGTATGAACATCAGCAGTGTCATAATCATAAAATGGCTGCTCAATGAACACTTTCATATGCTCATCCTTCAGCTGACTAAATGGAAATATGTGTTCTTTGAACACAACATCTCTGTTCACAATAAACTTTCTTCGAGCCATATTGTACAGTATATATCCCTTCTAAGTTAAAGAGTACCCCATCATAACACATTGATCAACTCTGGAAGAGAACTTATCTTCCTCGACAGATTTAGTTGCATAACATAAGCATCCAATTGTTCTTAGATGATCTAATTGTGGTTTAGTCTTGTGAAATCCTCATATGGTGACCTTCCCTGTAGTACACTTGTGGGCATTCTATTGATCAAATATACAACAGCTAATACACATTCACTCCAAAATTTAATAGGAATGGACCCTTGAAATCTAAGAGCCCTTGCAACTTCAAGAATGTGTCTATGCTTTCTTTCCACCACTCCATTTTGTTGTGGAGTGTGTGGGCAACCACTCTCATGAACAATTCCCAAAGATGTAAACAATGCTTTACATTCATTGTTAAAGAACTCTGTACCATTGTCTGATCTTACTCTTTTGATTTGCTTGTTAAATTGAGTTTTAACTAAAACAAAAAAAGACTTCAAGGTAGCAAGAACATCACTTTTAAGTCTTAGTAAGAACAACCAGGTCACCCTTGATTTATCATCCACAACAGTTAAAAAGAATCTAAAACCATTATGAGTAGTATGTCTATATGGTCCCCATATATCAAGATGAATGAGATCAAAAACATCATTAGTTCTAGAGCTACTCTAGGAAATGAAAGCCTTTGTTTGGCTAATGGGCATATAGGACGATCATCACATAAACCTACAGTATCACTTTGATACAATTGCTTTAAGACTCTATATGAAGGAGATCCCATTCTGTAATGCCATATCATAAACTGTGAATTTGCCTTGTTCATGGAACTTCTATAACCAACATTTGCAGCAACTGCCTTTTCTTCTGACAGATTTCTAGGAAAGTAATACAACCCTTCATTTTCTTTACCAATCCTCTTCACCTCTCCATTGAAGAGGTCCTGAAATATGCAGAATTCAGGAAAGAATTGAACAGAACACTTTAACTGTCTTGTTAATTGGGACACTGATAATAGATCATGTTTAAGTTTAGGTACAACTAGAACATTTTCAAGTACTTCATTAGTTGATATCATACATGTTCCTGATTGTGTAACTAATGTAGTTTGACTATTAGGCAGATAAACCTTTCTCCCTGTGTTCTTGTTGTTTATGCTAATCTTATCTAAATTCTGAGATCTAGATGTCATGTGACATGTAGCTCCTGAATCCACTATCCAATGACCTTTCTTGCTAAACATATTATGTTCATTACTCGCATTCATAGCATCATCACAACTTCTTCTTCTATCACATTCTAGTAAAATATCATAATTATTGGAAATACCTGCCATGTTGACCATGTCCTCAGCCTGCTTTTCTTCATTCAATAGCTTCATTATCTTTTGATATTGGTCAGGAGTGTATGTCGATTTCATTGCCAGTGCTTGTAAGTTTGTTCGAACAGAATTGAGATCATGTGATCCTTGTTCAGTTTTATCTGTTTCATTGATTACTCCACAAACATCTCCCTCACCATTTCTATCAACTTGTACATTATTTACTATGCCCTTTCCTTTGTTTATAGGCATTCCAGTATCTAATTTCTTTTTGAATTTCCAGTCTTCAGGATATACTACCAACCTATAACAAATATTTTTGGTGTGTCCATGCAACTTGCAGTGTTCACAAAATAGGTTCCAATTTACTTTCTTCTTACTGTTATAACCTTTATCTCCATCACCATGACTTGTGTTTCTATAACCATAACCACCTCCATTATATCCACCTTTGTCTCCATCACCACGACCTGTGTTTCTATAATCATAACCACCTCTGTTTGCATATAATGTTGTGGCCTCAATTACATCTCCTCCATAGCGTAAACCAGAGGTGATTCTTTGATTTTCGTCTGAAATTATCATGGCATATGCTTTGCCAACTGTTGGCAAAGGATTCATCATTAATATCTGACTTCGTGCAGGGCCATAGATCTCACTTAACCGCATTAGAAATGCAAACAATCGCAGATAATGCATGTGATCCACATATATTCTAGATCTATCACAATTACATGAAGGAGGTGGAACAAGTGCATCAAATTCATCCCAAAGCAACCTTAACTTGGTAAAATAAGCTGAAACAGTTAGGTTACCTTGATGAATTGTGCATATGTCCCTGTGAAGCTGGTAAACCCTAGAACCATCTACCTTATCAAATCGTTCCTTATTCCACTTAATAACTCTTTCGAAACTGTATTCATGATCTATGCCAGGACAAATGCATTGCATTTCTCCCACTGTTCTTCCAACTCAGGTGTATAATCACTCTTTCTGAAGGTTCCAAGTACAAAACCAAGCTTACTCTTATCCCGGAGGTTTATAATCATCGATCTACTCCACACGGAGTAGTTTTCTGAACCAGTAAGTTGAACTGTAGTCAATACAGATCCAGGAGTATCCGAAGGATGAAGATGAAGAGAATGATTTCTCTTTGATTCTATCATCTCAAGTGTTTCTGCTGCAGGAGCTGATGCAGACGATTGAACCACTGGTGTTGCATTTTCGATCACCATTACAAACCACTGAAATTCTGTTTCTGCTTGACTTCAAAATCAAAATCGAACTATGAGATTGAATCAAAAAATTATTGATTCACAGCTCTAATACCATGTAAATATTAAGAGAGAGTTTGGGAAATTTTGATATTGTAAAAATGAATCAGATCCAATACAATAAGTGTGAGCTACTACTTATATATGAGAAGAGGAAATAGCAACAAACTATCTAACTAACTTTTCTAACCGAACCTAACAATATAATAAAAGAAAATAAGAAGTAATTACACTTAATTAGTTAACTAACCACTTCTATCACTATCGGTTATCTTCAATATAAGCAATGTCTTTACACCCCCCATAATTTTAAGACCCTACTTTTCGATTATTAATAATACCTTAATCCTATATTACTATTCCTTTACAATAAATATTTAGGATAGGAAGTACAGAATATTTACTGTAAAAAAAATTATTTAACCAATGTGGTATAGTTAATTTACATTCTAATATTATTATTTTTTCTGTAATAAAACTAATATTTTTATCTGTATTTTTTTTCATTGTTAAACTTGAAATTTACTCTTATACTAATTAGTTGTCCAATCCAAGAGATAAACGACATTAAATAAATTTAAATTATATTACTTTTACATTCTTCCAAAGTTCAAATTGAGATAATAAAATATTACTATGTTATCAAGGTATCAATTTCAAAATACAAGTTCTATTTTCTAAGTCTCAACTATCCTTTATAAGCAAATGAAAATTTATAACATTTTTGATATTTTTACCACATAGGAGTATTTTTATTTTACTTCTTCAAATTTAAATATGCCGGAATATAAAATATAAATCATATTTACAATTATGAATTTTCTTAAAATTTAAGATTTATTATCATAAAGTTTAATTTGACTTTAAACCTCTAATATTCTTCACCAGTGTCTGATTCTTGACTCCCACTTATTTTAACTCCTACCAAATCAAGAGGTTAAAAATATCATGTTACTTAATTTTTTTAAAAAAAAACTCTCATATATTATATTCTTTCTCTATCACTGTCCGGAGTTTTTTTAAGAAAAAAAGATAAAACAATTTTTTTCAAATTTTATAATTTCAAAATGTATTAGTTTATGTATTTCTACTGTTCATCTTTATTTGTTATTATTTAACTTTGACACATCTCTAAATAAATAATCATTAATATTAATATCTTACAGATTAATATTTAGTATTGGATATTTAAAAATGATAAATGAAGAATAGTATTTATTGTTACTAGTAAAACATAAAAAAATATATCTTCTTGATTATATTGAAATGACAAGTAAAATGAGAATTTACTTTTATCAATTTTGGGTTCAACAATGGTTAAATATATATTATATAATAGTAGTATTCTTGCAACTATATGTTTTTAAATATTTGTGACCGTCACATATAATAACATTTGTATAATAGTAAAAATAATATTATTCAACTTTTTTTGAAACAAATTAAAATAGATTTTCACATACGTGTTCCTTTGCTTTATAATTTTTTATTGAATATTCCAGATTTTTTGTTTTTTTTTTGAATATTCTAGATTGTTTCTAGAAATCCACGTTTAAATTAATCAAAAAAATCTAATATTAAATATGCATTAAATAGGGTCCCACGGTTCACCTTTCCAACGCCATATCTAATGTCAAACTCCTCGCCGACTAGGAAATGGTCGTTTTTATCAACTAAGAACTTATAAGAAAAATATTTAAAATATATATTTTTTTTGTTTTATATTACTTCATATTTTAACAATATTCTTTTAAAAAAAATATATCGTCATTTAATATTAAGACTATTTTGAGAGGAAAAAAAGTCTAAAATGAACTTTTGAAGAGTTATTTATATATTAGATAAAATAAAACGGTATAAATATTATTGGAAAAAACAAGAGACGCGTATAAATCACAAATTTTGAGGGATAAAATAGGAATAATAAAAGATAAACCGACGTCCTTGGTCCACGATTTTGTTGATCCTCTCGTTGGACCAAACCACAGCTCCATCGCATCGTCACGATTTCAAGAAAAAACCCTAGGAGATACAAATCAAATCAATCGTTGATGGAGATCGCAACGGCGGTGCCGGCTTCGAACGATGTTGGCGGTGGTGGAACTTCTCCGGCGGAACGCTCCTCCGCCGATGCGATCAATTCGTCTTCATCACCGTCTGCATCTTCTTCCTCAGGGTTGTCTACGGACCAGATGACACGTAAAGATTTGAATTCTTTGGCCTGCAGGTTCGATGACGACGAAGAAGAAGAGGATGTTTGTCGGATCTGTCGGAACCCTGGTGAAGCCGATAATCCTCTCCGGTATCCTTGTGCTTGCAGTGGTAGTATTAAGTATGTTCACCAGGATTGTTTACTTCAATGGCTTAATCACAGTAACGCTCGCCAATGCGAGCAGATGTATGAGATGTTTGCTTCTCCTTTAACCTGAAAATATATGGTACTTTCATAAATATAAGAACCAACCACAATCTTAAAATCGAGTAATTCTCACACAAAGAAAGCTTTTTGAAATGACATAGTCTACACCATAAGCTTGCAATGTCAAAATTAAGATAATGAATCCACAGTCATGAAAAGTGGAAACCTATTGCTTTCTTATTTAAAGTCACTGAAAAGGTGAAAACCCATCAAAGGTATTCATGGCATGATTATAAATTTCTACATGTTTGTCCTCCCAAGAAAAAAGAAAAAAATTACATTATAAATTTTCCAGTCTACATAAATTTGAGTGTAGGGTTTAGTAAATTCTTTCTTGTTTTTCAAATAGATTCATAAAGCGTCAACTTTTAAGACTAAATTAGTGATACCTTCATTTCTTTAGTAAGACACTCCCTAATGTATAAGGCAAATGAATCTAAAGAACATCGATTACATTATGAGGAAGATAACTAAGGATTCCAAGTATTAAACAATAACAATGATCTCTTCTCTTAGAAGACATCATAAACCATTCAATACTTGTAGAAAATAAGATATAATACGATGTAAGAAATCTACAAGCTATCTAAGATGAAATTACTATTCATATTGTCAAATAATAGAAGAAAAAGAGAAATGAAATCCCAGACTATCTGAATATGAATAAATATGCTTTACAATTGAAATCATCAACAATCTCAAATTAATATCTATGCACGATTTCATACGCTAACCTAAAACAAAAATTATCTAGATAAATTTGAGCACATCTCGATGTTTTGCTATTTAATAGCGAGAAATATATTATTGTAACTCTTTATTCTGTCTTGATGTAACGTGTATTTCAGAAAATGAATATTATTGGAATGAATGTGTTTATTAGTTTATTGTCATTACATGTTTTAAGCATTTCGACATTTACAGTTTGCTAATGAATGAGTTGTTGAAGTGTTTTCTTCAATCTCAGAGGGACTGAGAAACTTCCTCAATTTTTAAATTTAGCTACCTGTAATGACAAGTTATGAATATATATGTATACCATCCACATCTAATAAAGGTTCATATATTATACTCTTTTTAATAACAAATGAATATTGAATGAATTAGAAAAAACTATTTTTTAAAAAAAAATTCCAAAAGTACCACACAACTTTAAAAGATTGTCTCACTATTTTTTAACGCCACTCAACTAAAAAGATAATCCCTCTTTTCATTTAGGTCAAATCTGATGATAATTCAGGTAGAAACAAAAAATAACTGATAATTTAGAAGTGTTTGATAAATAATTAATGATTATTTTATTAAGAAAAGTAATTGATAAAAAAAACTCTAAAAACATGACATTTCAAATGTGATTTGACTATTATTATTAATTTAAAATAAACAAAAACACTACACTCCATTGTACAAATCATTTCTTAATGTCAATAAATGAAAAAAACAATTATAATAAAGACTAGATATTATAATATAAATCTATATATATAATAAATGAGAAACATAAATAAGGTGATCTGTGAAACCTCTTTATGACTTTTATTTATATTTATTTTTCTTCTTTGACCATTTTTCATTCATTTAAATTTCTTACAAATCTTTATATTCAACCGTTGATCAACTTCTCACCTCCCACTATAATAATATATTTTATTTATTAGATATAATATGCATATAGATATTCTTTTAGCTTCAACCTTTATATTTGTATTTTTTTAAAACTTATTATATGAAATTAAACCCAGGCACCATCTAAGTTCGTGCATACCCTTAGCTTGTCGTTGCGGTACAAATCTCTATCAATTTTAATGGTGTTCAAAATACTATTGCAACTTTTATATTTCCTATCTTGTTTTTTCTTCAAATAATTTCTTAAATATTGAAATATTAAAGTTAAATAGAAAGTTGAACAATTATATACTAAATAAAATAAAAGAAAATGAAAAGTTAAGTGCGGTGTGAATGTAATATCAATCAAGATCTTATCTTGAATCTCCTAAAAGAAAATTAGGCATCACAAAATAAAATATACCAAAATAACTAAACTATAATCACACCTCTTTATAACAATTTTATTTGTTTCGACACTTTTTTCAATTTTGTAAGGATGGTTTTCATTTTATTTTTTTCCTACTTATTAAATTATTAAATTGTAAGCAACTAACATTATGAAACAAGTACATTTTAGAGGAAGGGAAAAATACTTGTGATATCTTTAGTTTTTACACTCAATATTTTATACATTACCAAGATTTTCTCCTTTTCATATTTATTTTTTAAATTTAAGTCGAGTAAATTTTCTCATATTTGATCGAAAAGTTTTTAATGGGAGAGAAAAAAGCTTTTTACAAATTCTTCCTACTAAAGAATTCTATATAGAATGTTAGAAGCAATCTGTAAAGATGATTTATTATTAACTTATAAATTAATGAGGAATTCAAAATTTATGACTCTATTATTCGATAATAATCTAAGTATATTATTTAAGATCGTGTATTATTATTGAAATGAAAGAAATTTGATGTCATTTGATTTTCCAATAATT